GCGATTTTTATGAATTCTTCACTGAGGAATTTCAGGGTGAGGAAATTCCTAAGCGAAGAACCACTTGCAGCGGAATAAGTACTCACGTATAAGCATAACAGAGCAACATCATAGTCTTCATAATAAAATGAGAGACAAACACAGAGTATAGGAAGCGTAAACACAGGATAAGCAGGATGAAGACAAGCTGACTGAAGAAATATGATTGAGGATAGAAAGTCTTCAGTCAAAGTCTTCAAACAGTAATGATCAGGTTCATCAACACATAACTGAGGAAATGAAAGGGTTGAGGAAATAGAACCAGTAGGCTTGGTGAAGATAATGATTTGGTCGACCAGTTCCAACTGCTGTGACAGTTGTACGTCTAGTTGGAGCGGCTGAGTATATATTTAAACTCGAGGACACACAGTCCCAGACACACAGTCCTCACCGTATTCCCACTGGGCTAAGATTACGCAAATCTCGCCCAACAGTAGTGGTAAGTCTTCACAAGTGACTTCCAAACCTTCACAGACTAGGTCACTCGGCGATCCACAATTCCTCTTGGATGCTCAGACCATGACGCCTAACCGTCTGGAGGATACACAGTCCTCAAAGGTAACAAGCGTCGGTTCCACACAGGAACAATCTCTTCATTGATGCTCAATCACTTTGGGTTTGTAGGTGTTTTGGTTTTTCCTCACTTGATGATTTTCGCTCAAAGTCCTCGGAGGATGGGATGCTCTCAAATGACAAGTGTCAGTTTCTCTCGGAGCAGCCAACCAGCTAGTGGTTGTAGGGGGCGGATATTTATAGCCTAGGAAGCAGCCCGACATGATAAGACATAAATGCCCTTCCAGAATATGACCATTAGGTGGGTAGATATTTTAGGATAGCTGGCGCGTAGCACAACAACGGTCGGATATTTGAGGTTTGAATTCCTCAGCGCTATCATGTTCCTCACCGTGTAGGCAATCCGCACTGGCGAATTTCTAACTCCTCAGTCAGAAAAAATTCCTCAGGGACCAGAAGATCTTCGTCTCTGTCACTGAAGAAATTGACTGAACTGATATGACATTTCCAATGGCTTCACTCTAAGGATTGGGTAAGTGTAGGATTTTGAGATGAGCATCACTTGGAAATTAGTTTTCTTAGTATTATCTCGACCCCCTTTAACAGTACGGTGTTTCCTATTACTCAAGAAGAAAACGAAACTATGAAAACAAAAGTCTTCGCGCTTCATAATCCTCACATGAATATCCAAGTCTTCAAGGTCACACCAATTTCTTCATTTTCAAAGTCTCCAGGAGAGCCAAAGTCTTCAGCTGAAGACATTCGTTTTTAGGGGTCGACTTTCACTGTAAATATCAAACTCCTCATCGACTTATAGAGCCTGTGTACACTCACAAACATATTAGTCCCTTAACCTATAAGTCTTCAATACACCAAAATCACTAAGGGGCACTAGTTGCACTTACAATCTCCCCCATTTTGGTGATTGATGACAATATAGGTTAAGTTTTCAACGGGGATAAACATATGTATTGAAAGTACTAAGAATTGAGGAATTTGATAACAAGATATAGAAGAACTCCCCTTGAAGATGTGCATAGTGAGGAATTTTCTTTTGAAGCAATGCACACTTGAAGAGTAGAATCATGGAGATCCCCCCCTATATCTTGTAATTTATACACGCATTTAACATATCGAATGAAGAATTTGAAATGCATGATGAAATATGGTGACTGATGTAATTTAGCATGCTTGCATAGGATAGATGAGGAAATAGCATGCAGAAAACATAGCAAAAGTATCAGGTCACCATCGGACTTAAGTTTACAACTCATTCAACAAACACTTCAGAAGAGCGAGAGTTGCAACTTAACAAAAATAAAAGCCCATATAGATAGACCCGACCAACTCAAATTTCTCCCCCTGTGTCATCAAATGACCAAAAGGGATGAAAAATCAGGACTAATGCCCCTGAAGAATTTCTTCACGATGTCGATGGAGGAGCGTCAGCGTTGTCGGGGTCAGTTGTTGTAGTAGGGCCTGCCACAGTGTCGTCCAAATCCTCATTTTCATCCGTCTCGCTGGATGAGGAATATGAGCTGGGCACAAAAGGAGGAACTTCAAATTTCTTGAATTTCTTCGGTGGAGGTTTAGACCAGTCGAAGCCTGTTGGAAACCCATTTGCTTAAGATCTTCATCACCATAGAGATGAGTCAGAACAGCCTAGGTGTGATCAAAAACTTCATTGAGGTAATAGTGGTTTTTCTTCACAAAATTGTATGTTGCAGTCATGTTGTGAAGAATAGCGCCAAACTGATGCTTTACCCATTTGTGATTGCGATCCACCTTTTGATGAAGACTGAGGAGAAGCTCGCGATCAGTCATCACCCTTGGAGCTGTAGCTTGAGGACATTGCTTTGAAGCATTGGCGGCAGATTCATGAGTAGCAGAGCCATCATTGGTGGAATATGAAGCAGCTTTGCGAAACTATCCATCCAATGGACGATTGCCTTCATCAATGATAGCAGTGGCCTTTCCCTTTTCATCAACTGATGAAAATGTACGGTTGAGGACTTCAATTGGGGGCAAGTAGCTGCCATGGTTGAGTGTATCAGCTTTGTAGTTGAGTGAAGACCTTGATCTGAGGAATCTCATAATCCAGGGCGCGTAAGGCTTCAACTCAAAAGGAGTCATTGCAACATTCGCCAAAGTCCTCATGAAGAAATCATGGTAGTTCACGGGAATACCGTGCATGATGTTGAATAGCAGATTCTTCATGATGCCAACGACTTCTTCATCATTCGAGTCGTGGC